AGCAGCAGTAAAGACGCCAATCGCTCAGATGATGTAAAAAGTAAGGTGATTTGGGATGTCGTCAATGGCGGAAGGTCGGAAAGTTCAGGGGACTGACATCACATCAGCGCAGTGCTTTCAGCGTCGAACCCGTTGGGCAAGAACACCCCGGATTCAGCCCCACCGCTGATTGGCTGGAGCGGCAAAACCAGGCTCCGGGACTCCGGGGGGTTCGAAATTGTTCACCATCACGATACCAGCTTCAGTCGTTCTATCTCGGTCGTGGTCGTCAATTCCCCTCGCCCATTGCCGCCATGGTTGTCAAGATCCGCCTCGCCCGCTTCGGGCGCCGAAACCAGCCATTCTACAACATCGTCATCGCCCACGCCCGGTACACCACCCTCAATCCGCCCCCGCCAATTCATTCCAACTAACGAGACTGCAGGACGGCACGCAACTCCCGCCCGCTCGAGGTTATCGGCACGTACGACCCGATCCCCAAGCCCGATCCGTATGACAACTCCGGAAAGCTTCACAAGGATATCAGGCTCGACACACAGCGTGCGAGGTACTGGATTGGTGTTGGTGCACAGCCCACCGACACGGCATGGCGGTTACTCTCAATGGTCGGCATCCTGCCGAAGAAGCAGTTTGGGCCCAAGCAAGACCAGCAGAAGGGCACAGTGAAGACAGAAGAGGTCAAGGTTCGCTAAGGAAGGCCTAAAATGGCTGTATGATATGTATGAAAGGCATTTCGAGGCGTTGGCTTGGGTCAGGTGTATTCCGATTTGAATGGAGTCAGCAATTCCAGAGCACGATGGGACAGGGAAGAATCGAGGATACCAACCAGGTCACCAAAGGTCACAATGCACCCGGGAGGACTGTACGATATGTGGTGAGGGTTTGAGGTCACCAGAGACACGCCATTTGTTGCTATTAAGAATTGTATTGAAGCGCCACCAAAAAACCATATCTAAAACAACGCCTGAGCCGTCTTCAAAGCTCAATCGCTATCAAAACGCCTATATGCCGTCTTATCACACGTCTTGATACCCAACATTCGTCATCCCCAATGAGGCCGTACAAGAAAAAAATACAGTCTAGTTAGTGGCTGCAGAGAAGATATTGATGCCCAAGCATACAGCCATGACACACGCTCCATAGATGGCGAGGGCAAGTGAAAGTCTGCGGAGGTGGTGGTGCTCGATGTGTTCAAGATCCCATCGCCACTTTTTGCGCCATCGCCACGAGTTTCGGTTGCTGCGGGTGCTGACGTTGCTGGCCATGCTAACACCGCTGCGAACGCTGGTCGTGCTCTGAGCCAGGGCGGCAGATTCTTCCACGTCTGATGTACTGGAGTCTTCTCCCATGTCGTCATCTTCCTTAACCAAACGCTGGTGATATGTACTGTCAGGGTCGCTAATTTTATAGTAGAAAAGACCAGGAAGAATGAAACTAATCGATGTCGATCCAGTGCTGCCAACGAAGGCGAGCACACGGTCTAAGCTGGTGACTGATAGAGCAGTCATGTATGCAAACGTTAGAAGAACTGTTGTAATAACCGCAAAACGAAGGTCGGACATGGAGGAGCCGGCTCCATGATCGTTTGCAGGAGCTGTAGGGAGTAGAGGGGTCGAGGTCCGTCGGTTGCCCGAAGAGTGACGGTTGGGTCGCCACTTCAGGACGGCATCGAGTGAAGCTCGACAGGGATGGACTTGCAACGGGACCGAGAAGGTGACAAGAACGACAATAGCCGCCTTTCCGATCGTCGAGGCAGCTCCTGTAGGATCTGACATTTGTTAGCAACTTGATCAAGACAGAGCACGACAAGTACTTACACATAGAAACAATGTTGCCAACCACGGCATTGCCGAAAGTGATGTAACCAGTAATGGCCACAGTAATGTAGATGGAAGCGGCAGAGCCAATGCTCGAGCCAACTACGCCAAGAACGCTCGAGGGGGAGTTATCCTTGAGCTCGTTGAGAATAGAGAACATCTGATCAGTCAGTAATTGTCGAACAAATCGAGTGTGAGCTTGCCTACATTCTGGTGGCAAGTATACGCAAAGACAACAACAGGGAGAGTGCTCAGCGTTTCGATGGCTCCACCCCATTGAATCACGCGGATGCTCCCTGGGTCAGCATGCTTATCGACCGCAAAGTGGTAAATCACCAGGATGATGAGATACCCGATAGATACCAACGCAATAATGCTGGTGTACTTTAAAGAGTCCAGGCGCCGCAGGAAACTAAGCGGGATGATAATGAGCATAAAGGCGGTGATCCAAAAGTTTCGATCAACCAGATAAGGAGCGCTGTTGGCATTGCTAAGGAAGCCCAGCACCACGCCAGGCATCAAATCTCCAATGATGATCATGTACGACACGCCAACTCCAAAGCACTTGATTGCGATCGCGGCATCGAATATGACGGCGGCGTTGGGGTAGGTGATTTGCGACAGCGCAAAGAAGGACGCGGTTCCCCGCTCGAGATATCGGGCGCATCGTGACTGGAGATAGAGGCCGAACGCGGCCGTGATGCCGGACCAGATAATGAGAAAGACGCCGAGCATGATGCCCATGTGGGACATGACTGAGGGCATGGCAAGGGTGCCAGCTCCAACAACTGTGACGTTATCAGCATCGCGTCGCAAGGGTTCGATCGGGGGACGCACTGGTATTCAGCAGGTTCACGACACTGCTGATCGTGGTGGCTTGGCCTCCATGGCCGCCATCCTTGTGGCCGCGACGTCGTGGTCTGGAGAGAATATGGTCAGCGAGATCAGGTTGTTTTGGTGGTGGCCGGTGTCGGCGTTGAAGGGGCGAGTCTCACCTAGACATATCGTCGGCACTTCTGGTTGTAGAAGCGTTTCCATCAGATATAGTCGAGTAGTTTGTCATTTACGACGAAAGGCTCGTAATAATGAGGTTGAATCGGCGCGATCGTGGAAGGGCACGTATTGCGACGATGGGAGGCGTTCAGATGTTGCAATGTAGAAAGTATGCACGAGTGTAGGTAGTGGGAGTGTCTATCTCTGCGTTCCTCGGCTTTCCAATCCGATTGCTGCTGACTCGCAACGAAGAGGCGAGGCGAGACTGAGCCACTCGTGGCAGCCCTAAACCAGATTGCGTCAATGGGAGCGCTACTTGGCTGCTCGATGTTGCGTGCTGTGCTGGCGCTGCACTGCACTGCACTGCACGGTAAGTACCGTTGCGGCACAAAGGCCCCCAAGGCTGGTTGAACGCTCCGGTCGCGACACACCCAGACGGAGAGTCACGAGAGAAGTGCCAACGAGGCCGATGTGGTTGGAGGAGATGCAGGAGGGAGAAGACACCAGCAGAGGCGCTGGTCAGGAGATGACGACGGACCTGGGAATTCCTGACGGCGCTTGTTTTCTGCCACGATCCTTGGAACAAAGAAACGGGGGGCAACCTATCGCTGGAGCCTTGTGCCGAGCCAAAGCGGCCAATGAGCACACGCCTCGATCGTTGATCGACCAATCAGGCGCCAGGTCAGTCAAACTTGGGTCCCAATCCGGGGAATAAGTTGAGGGACCATCCAGGGCTTTCCAGGGGCTTTGTGAGATGCCTCCCGGGCGGTGTGTTGTAACTGGAGGCCTAGCACTGTAATTACCGTTCGCCTGTACTGTATGCCGTAGGAACAGAACCACCAGGTGACCTCACTTCTTGTCTCTCCCATCTCGAATGTCATCCATCCAAACATCTGGGCCAGATGCGCCTCCTTGTCTGCGACATCAAAGGGCCATGGTTCAGCAGGTCTCACTCACTCACAATTTCATGACATCCTCCTGACCCCCCACTTCCGCCCTTGACCGCATCCACACCGTCATTCCGCGGACGTGCATCAAACGTCCCGCGCCAGCGACTTTGTCACGATGGCCACCACCATGGACGACACGACCCTATCGACGCTCGACCTGCTCGAGTCGCGACTCCTACGTATCGAGCATCTTCTCTATGGACAGGCTGTATCGCCGGCGTTGGCTCAGGACCGATCGGCTGTCGAGAAGATTGGACAGCTCGACCGGCGCTTCTCGCATCTCCTGGACAAGTTCCGCGTCTATGCCGAACTGATAAAGATTTGTACGTCGCAACGGGCATACTGCTAGAACACCTGCTCATCTCGCCTAGACAAGGCACATCCAGACTTTTTTCATGCGGCCGCTCCCTCCGATCCCCCGTCACAGCTATCCAGCGATGCCCTACAATCCATCGTCCTCGCCTCGGCCTCTGCGTTTCCCGCGACTCTTTCGTCCCTGACCGCGATCAAGGACAGCCCGATACCCGACCCATCAGAAAGCGCAAACCTCATTGCGTTGCAGGATAGGATGAAGGCTATCGAAGCGACTCAAATTGCCCAGGCCGCTGAAATCGCCGACCTTCGGAAACGGAGCGAGACGGTTATCCGATCATGGTACGAGACAGGTGTTCTCGACAACTCGAGAACCATGGCCGACTTGGAGTCACGGGTGGCGATTGTTGAACGACAAGTAAGGAGGGCAGAGCGAGAACTGGAGGCCGAGGACGAGTTATGAACGATGCATATGAGATACCCATTGGAATTGAGGACATGTTCGAGTGTGACGCCCAGGCATAAGAGGCAATTTGAGTTTAATGCCCAGCAGCGGCATATCTAACTTCGGGCCGATGTCTCATGGCATACCTTCAACATGTTTTGGCCATGATCAAGACGGCATGCCAGTCCGCAAGGGAGAAGCGGCATGTTCATGATAGATTGAGAGTATACACCGAAGCTGGACATCACATAGAGCACAACACCATAAACAACTTGCGACATCTATAGAGCTCAATATGACCAAGCACCTTTCACCATCCCCAACTCCCTCCTCTTACAAGGGCATTTCCCAAAGGTAGAACTGTTAGTCAGGAACGGCAATTCAGATACCCCACTCCCAACCCAACCCTAATCCAACGTGGTGGAGTATCTCGCGATGTCCACATAAACGACATAGCCTTTACCCGCTTCCATCAAATATCTTCTCCGCATGGTGTAGTTGGTTTATCACGTTCGGCTGTAACTGGAAAATTGCCACCGAAAGGTCCCTAGTTCGATTCTGGGTGGGGAGACGAGACTTTACTTTTGCTCGAGCAGACGATGAAGCTTTGTAACTTTTGCTTGAGCTTGTTACCTTTTTGCTGACAACTACAGTGCTGGGGATATTAATGATGGCTCGAGCTCGAGCTAGGTTCCATGGAGCGCGTGTGAGCCCGGCGCTGAGGTTGATATCGTGTGGTGAGACTGCTCTTGTGTCCGGAAAGCAAGCTCAATAGAACTTGATTTGTCTTGCTCGAAACGAAGATATATCAAATAGAAGGCCGCCTCACTACCACAAACACCAAACTATCGTCTAGAGGAAACGAAATTCATCGCTTGATTCACGTATTTGGCTCAGTGGCAGGTTCAAGATGCAGTGTGTTGAAGTGTTGATTCAACCCCCAAGTCAGAATGTGCGATGTTATTTCCCCCCATACTCTGTGTCGATTGAAAATCCCTCGGGCTTGGTCCAGTGTCTCTCGCCGAGTAGCTTCTGGGGTAGATGGGGAATACTCAACAATCTAATCTTCTCTCACCATGACGAGTCAAGACCAGGGAGCAGCGTTCATGTGCCTGACACTAGCGAGTCGTGGGTGTGTAGCCTCTTAGCAACTCCACAACCAGATAGGAGAGTTACGTGTAACTCAGGCATTGTCCAGACAAACCTCTCAAGTGGCTCCGCTGTATCCTCGGTTGAATCGTTCTGGCCCTTGAACATGAGGCTAGACGTGACGGTTTGTTTCGCGAGTTGACAGGAGTTTAAACTTCTGCAGCTAAAGCATTATGCAGATCTAGCTGCAGTTGATACATCTCCTTTCTCGCGTGAGGACTGTTATTAGGTAGGTACTGATGAGCAGGGATCTAGACGAGTTATGATGAGTCTCTTCCTATACTTTCTCAAAGTAATATAAGAGATTAATTCATTTTTATATTATTTCTATAGAATCTTAGATAGTGCTTTAATGATGGATATAAATAGGTATCTACCTATGCTCTGGTAATCCGCGAGCAAGGAGAGGTACCGATTGAATAGGATACACCTGGCTTTTTTATAACAGTCGTTGAAAGTTTGTGGTTGGCTGCATCTCACCCACAGAGGCGGCCTTCTAAGGGCCGTTTGTTCGGTCAGCTGTTTTAGCCAAGAGCCAACACCAATTAATACGCTCCCCCAATCATCAGGCTTTGCCCTTGCATTCATAGTTTCACTGACAATGGGAACTAACCATTGATGCGAGTGACCCAGTGTTCATGCTCGTGGTGTAGGGTACACGGTCCCACATTCTCCCAAGTACACGTTGACCACGAGAGTTCCCAGACACGGCGGATCTTGACTGGCCTTTCAAGCTGTGATTATTGACTCATGGGGCAAGTCTGAAACTCGCCACCTCCTCTGGTTGTAAGTCGTGGATATCGTACCAGATGACAACATAGTCCGGCCGGATTCTACTCTTCAACCGCGAGCAATTGTACCCTGCACAAAAGCTCACAACGCTCTCCCTGTCAAGTCATACACCGAAGCGCCTTGTAACCAGCCCCAGGCGAGAAGCGTCACAGATACGCGCGGGAAACCTCAATGCCGATCGTGATCAGTGCAGGTTCTGCGTCCCGGGTTCCGTGGGCGCTAAGAACGGGAATGCCAGACGATCGTCGACACACCATTGACCGTTGGGAACAAGGACTCTCTCAAGACTGGGGCTTTACTCCACCTCAGGTGCTGCCCTGTCAAGTTTCGAGAGGGTTGCTCACAACTACCGAGCCGAGGAGAATCAGCGATAGGGCTTGCAAGGGCTCTCTCGTCAGATGCCACGCGTTCTCGAGGGATAAAGAAGTTTGGGTCCCAGCCACAGGCAATCCCAATGGATCTTGGTTCAGACGTGGCGGTGCGGGATTGAGTTTCGGTGGTGCCAGGGGTAAAACAGCGCCAGAGGACTTGATGGATGCAAGACCCGCTGTTGTTAACTTAGCGGCAGGGGCAAGCAAAGCAAGTCCGTCGGAAAGTTTTCAAGGGCCTTTTGGCACGGCACAGGCACAAGGCACATCGTGGTGCAACATCGGATGAATCGGGGCTGTTGTTGTCGACGGATGGGGAGGCAGCCGGTCGCAGTTTTAGTTGAGTTTGGGACATGGAAAGTGATAAAGAGCGGCTGATCTGATCATGTTGGTGATTGTAACGTCAAGTGTCACGATGTGAGAGACAGAGAGACAGCGCCGAGCTCGCGGTGATGGCCTCAACTGGCTGCCAAGACAATAGTTGGTGATTTATCACAGAGCCACCAGGCACACTTAACCTCGTGAGACAGCGGCACAAGACTCTAGAGTATCTGAGAGCCGTGCTACGCCGCCCTGCAGCACAAAGCCGCCGCAGGAGAGCAGAGTTTCCGGGAGGCACGGACAGATGCCGCCGGTCGTGATAAGCTCAGCGCCGATCCGACCGTTTTGGAGTGATCCGCAACCGCTGGGATCCGATGGATGCAAGCAATGCGTCCGTTGCAACTCCCGTCGTCAAAGGCGGGGGCGAACGGGCGGCACGACATGACAAAGCAGGCGCCAAGATGAGAAGGACTTTTCAGCAAAGAGACACAAGAAAGGGCATTGGACGTGGAGGCTTGGAGCTTTATGGCGGCCTGTGTTGCAGAGGCTGGACGGTTGCTGCGATGCCGGCTTGGTCATGCATTTGTCGTCACGATCCAAGGTTTGGAGGTTGAGAGCACCAGCCACTGGACGGAGCTGATGTCTTGCATTCCGAGACCCGGTCGAGGGAGACGGGATGCACACGCACATACACGCACGCGAGCAAGCGGCAAGGGAGGGAGGGGGGAGGGTCTATTGTTGTCGTCGTCCCGATCTTGCCGTAAACCGCCTGAATGTTGCGATCCAAAAGTCTCGAGGGCCGTGACCTTACGCAGGCTACGCTTGAGCGGGCAACCATGAAACTCTTGACGGCCCCTGCATCCAAGCTCTGGTGCAGCCCATCACGGCCGGCCCTCTCCACCCCGGTTGAATCTCAAACAACAACGGGGTAAAATGTGGTTAGCGGGCGAAGAAAGAGTCTGGGTCATTGACTCGAGAGGCGTCGGATTCCTGTGCTTGGCTTTACAAGGCTGGATTCGAACTTGAACTGGTCTGGTAGCTTGGACAACACCCTCTTTAGCAAGCAATCACCAAGATGTGATTCATTCCTGCAGATGTCTGGATGCTGTGACGACGGAGTGAGATAAGTTGGGGGCCAACCCACGAGTTTTGACTCTGGCCGTCGTCTGCTCGACTTGACTTTTCAGATTCACTTACTCTGAACCATTCATTGTCCCCCAAAACAAACGGTTGAAACGAAACGCTTTTTTCCCTCTCTCTCAGGTTTTTCATCTCCACCACTCCTGATCCAATCACGGACTCGGTTTCTTGCAGGTCTCCGGCTGCTGGCCTCCATTGTTGGATCAAATCTCCAGCTCCATCCATCGAAGGGCCTGGCCGTCAAATCACACCCACCCCATCACGGACGCACGCACTGGGGGCGCCACAAGCAAGGGCCGGGCGGGCTTGTCTAGAGGACGCATGCCCATTTGCTGGGGGGTCAAGGGTCAAGCAGGGACACCCTTCATTTCGGGACCTCCATCCCTCACGACCTCAGAGAGAGGCCTCTGCTGGCAACGCTGCACAATTCGCACTATTACAGAGGCTGCGCTGTACGTGTACGGGCTCCAGCTTGTACAGCACTATTGGATTCCAGGCCCCAGAACAGCCTGGGTCGGTTGGCTCTGGTTCCTCTCCGAGATCTCGCCATTTCCACACACCTTCTTCTCAGCTCTCAGCTCAGTTTTTGTTCTGTGGCATTTCTCTTTCAAAGCTTCTTACCCTTTTCTGATTCACCTCGTTTATTGTTTTCCATTCTCCCCCGCCTTTGGTTGACACAATTTCGCTGTCAAGTCGGCCGCACCAATACTCCCTTAAAAAAACAAATACGAGGCTGCCCTTGCTGGACCAGGCCCGCTGTCCTCTTGGGAGTAAGGGAAGAGAGAGAAAAAAAAAAGGCTCTTATTGCCCCTGACTTATTTTTCTCGCCCGTCAGCCGACCTGACCTGACTTGACCTTTGTCATACCTTGCCTTACCTTTCATCCCAGCGCCTGATCTGACCGTGACCGCGTCACGTCTCCTCTGCCGCTACTACCGCCTGTTGTTGTCTCTGCGTAGAGACTTGACAGCCACTGTTTTTTGTTGTTTCGACCGCGCCGCGCGCAAAAGACGGGACTCTTTGTCGAATCACGCCCCAGGTCCTAGGCCAACTCTCTCTCCACAATCGAGCGTCTTCCTTACTGCGTGCTACTGCGGTACCTACAGCGAAGCACACTGTAAGGTTAGCCTGCTCTGCGCTGCGCCTGGGTTGCCCCTTGTCTCCGCGTTTCTCTTCCCCCCTTCCCTTCCCTTCCCTTCTCACCCACTGCCCGCTCACCCACTTGGCTCCCACTACACGCACGGCGGCGCATCCTCCTCTTCCCATTCCAGACCGTCCGTCCATCCATCCAGTTCAATCCTTTTCATCCATCTTACTCTTCTTCTCCCACTAAAAACCCATCCAACTTTATCCCGTGGGCTTTGATCCCCCAACTTTAGTCGCTCCTTTCTTCTTTACTGCTTACTACCTTACGTCTACTTTCTCCTTGTGCCTCTTTATCTACCACCTCCCTCGAAATCCAAAAACAATCCCCGACCGTCAGCCGTTATTAAAAACGCCCGCGAGGCTCCTTCGATCGACAACCCGACAGCTTCGCCTGGCCACTTGCAGCGCGCTCGAGCACAGCCTCTTCCAGCCATTCTCGTCGCTTTTCTTTGGCCGAATGCTCCGGTAGCAATCGAGCCCTACCAACGCCCAGCTCGTCAGCCAATCTCCAACCCAAGAAAGCGCCTCTTGACTCCCAACCACCAACCGGCCTCCGCCAACTCGATTACCTCCTCCTTTCCTTATGCCATCGTACTCGCTCACCTCGCCGTCGCTTCAGAAAATGGACAACTCGAGAATGTACGGCGGACGCAAGG